CACACACACACACACACACACACAGTCACAAACATTGATAAAGACAATGCAGTGGGCAAGAGCCCACAGAGAAGGCAAGGAAATCTGTGGGTAAACAGAAGAAAGAGCGACTGAGATGTAACATGTACATTTGTTAGTCTTTACAAACCAAAAAGGTCTAATGCACACAAGTGTAGCATTTCCTATAATGAAAAGGACTTGTTGTTGTTATGTGCCGTGGAGTCAGTTCTGACTCATAGCAACCCTGCAAAAGGTTTCCGAGGCTGTAAATCTTTACGGGAGCAGAAAGCCTCATCTTTCTCCCGCAGAACAGCTGGTAGTTTCGAACTACTGACCTTGTGGTTCGCAGCCCGATTCGTAACCACTACGCTACGAGAGTTCCTTAATGAGCAGGACTGTTGTTGTTGTTGTTATGTGCCGTGGAGTTGGTTCTGACTCATAGCGACCCTGTACAGGGTTTCCGAGGCTGTAAATCTTTACAGAAGCAGAAAGCCTCATCTTTCTCCCGCGGAACAGCTGGTAGTTTCGAACTTCTGACCTTGCAGTTCGCAGGCCGATTCATAACCACTAAGCTACCAGAGCTCCTTAACGAGCAGGACTAGAGGCAGGTAAAACAATCCTAGCCAAAGTCCACAGGCAGATAAAAAGGTTAAGTCAAGGATTGGGGGAAGAAATCTCAAACTTAAAGAATGATTGCAGTAACCAGTCATTTCCAACCAAATGGGAGAAGATGCATTAATGACTGAGGACTCAGATGTAACTAGCTAGTAATCTTTTTGGAAAAACATTAATTACAAACACCTTCAACCACCCTTCAGGTCTGGAACAGAACTTGCCCTCATGGCCCAATTATCAGCCAAGAAGTAGATAAGTAATATGCGAGGGCAACAACCCTAGTAAGGTATGCTCACCATAGAATAGTCAGTCATTCAAGATCAAAAGGGCAACCTTTATCTAAGGACAAAGTTGAGAAGGGATAAGAAAGAGGGTGGGATGGAAACAGGAACCACAGGGAGAAAGTGGGATAACTGTTGTTGAGTGGAGAGGATTGCAATCATTGAGATGAAACAAAGTGGATGATTTTTTTAACGTAACACTGATAATCTTCTCTGTAAACCTTTACTCAATTCACAATAAAACATTTTTTAAAAAAAGAATAAATTGATAAGGGCTATATAAGAACAAAAAGAGCTCTGGTAGTGTAGTGGTTACAAGTCGGACTGCTCATCTCATGGTCAGCAGTTTGAAACTACTAGCAGTTCCGGAGGAGAAAGATGAGGCTTTCTGCTCCTATAAAGATTTACAGCCTCAGAAAGATTTACAGCTATACAAGGTCACTATGAGTTGGAACCCACACTACTGATAATGCATTACAAACCAATGTCACAGGTTAAATCAACGCTACAAATGGAAAACAAAGTTAAGTGGAAAAGAAACTTGTATGTATGTACACTGTTGTTGTATGTAAATCATGGTGACATCCCGGGTGCAGAGCACAACTGTACTTCATGAAGTTTACAGGACTATGATCTTTCAGAAGCAGATCACCAGGCCTTTCTTCCAATGTGCCTCAGGGTAGCTTTCAACCACCAACCTTGTAGCTAGTAGTCATGTGTTTAACCATTTGCACCACTCATGGAGTCCTGGTATTGCACTATAGGATAAGCACTGAGCTGCTAGCTGCAAGTTCAGTGGTTCAAACCCACCAGCCACTCCTCCAAAACCCTATACAGGGTCACTATGAGTTAGAACCGGCTCTATGGCAATTAACAGCAACAATTATCTATATATGGACTTGTGGTATGGCGCTATAGGATAAGTGAAAAAAGGTGAATTACAACACATAAATTAGATGCACTAGTTTACACACAAAAAATATAGAAAGAACAAAACAAAGTGGTTTCCTTTTGACTATCTCGGGTTTCATTAATAACTAGACATTATATGTGCTGTGGAGTCCTGGTGTGGTGATGTGGGATAAAGTACAAAGTCTGTTTGAAACACAAGGACAGCAGTTCAAACCCACCAGCCACTCCTTGGAAACCCTATACAGGGTTGTTATGACTTGGAACCCACTCCATGGCACACCACCACCACCCCCCAACAATATATCTTCTAATAACATGTGTGGGTGACAACTGTCAAAGCCCTTTCTAAAAGAAGTGAAGATTTTCATAAACCATTTCATTTAAGAGTAGACTGCTTCCTCTTTGAGAAAACAGGAGACCCAGCTTTGCACTTCCGTTCTACTTCACATTAGCTGTGTGTCTTGGGGCAGGCATCTTATTCCCTGAATGGGGATTATTCTCACCAATTGTAGATCTCTCTGGAATCCAGTGAGGACCTGTCATTTATGAGTAAAGAAAAGCTGGGTTTCTAAGGTCAGGGGTACCCCATCATGGATGTAACCAGCTGCTTCTTGGTATAAGCAACCTTGAATTCTTTGTTTATGCTCAGTGACTCATTACGGAGGCATGGGTGATCAAACTGCTCTCCTGGGCTTTACGTTCCTGCTGGTGGTTTTTGAACATTGAACACTTCAGTTCCACAGAATGGACTCCCTCATATAAATCCCCTGTTCTACTGACTGTCCTTAGCAACATTATAGAGAGGCCAGGAAGAGTCCATTATTGAAAAATGTCAGGCTTAGAAAATGCAGGTAGTAAAACACCAAATGTCCTGGCTCAAGTATCCTGAGAGCCCTTACCGATGGTGGTCTCACAGAACTTCTCCGCAGCCACCTCGTTGGCAATGTTGGCACCCATGAGCACACTGATATCAATGCCCATCTTCTCGCGAATGATGTCGGAGATGAGTTTCAGCCCCTCGGGACCCTCGTCTATCCCCTGGAAGGATACCAAGAAGTTTACATGGAAAACAAATCATCAAATAAGAGGTATGAAATAGTTTTGCTTTATAGAACATCAAGATTCAAAGATCCAATGGCAACTTAAAAAGCACCTCTTTTACTAACAAGAATAAGCAAATGTATAATGATATGTACTGTTTAGAGAATGATAATAAAATGAACATCCATGTACCAACCACCAGGTTAAGAAATAGATGATAACCAATACCACTAAGTCCCCAGTGTGTCTCCCCAACCCAAGTTCACTCTCCTTCTTCGCTATCTATTGATGATCAGGTTATATAGAATTGGATAGTGGCCCTTGCCCAGTAAGTGGGGCTGAAAAAGGTATATGGGTATAGCTGAACTGTATGGGCATGGTTGCTATTGCCCATAAGGTGGATCAAGCAAAGAAATAGAGAGAAACAACAAAAACAAACAGCAGCAGAAAGCAAATAGTAAAGAACTAAGAAATAAGTTGGGGCAAGCAGGCAAACAATAATAAGAAAAAAAATTAATAACTACAAAGGGAAATAAAATGAAAACAAGAGAAAAAAGAAAGAAATACAATAAGCAAAACTAGGGAGTGGGCAAAGAAAACAATAAAGAAGAAAATAAAGATAAAAGATAAAGGGAAATAAGAGAAAGGGGGAAAAAAGAAAGAAAAAGAAAAGCAGAAAAGGATGAAACAAACAATGGAAGGAAAAGAAAAGAAAAAGAAAGAAGAAAAGTGGGGTAGGGGCTGGGCCCAAAGAAGAACAAACTGTTGAGAACAGGGTATCTGGAGGGCAAGGCATCTAACAGTCAGGAGCTCGCTGTGTGTGTGTGTGTGTGTGTGTGTGTGTGTGTGTGGTGGGAGGAGGGGGGAAATAGTAGGGATGAGAGGGTAGTCCTAGATGGAGTTCCTGCAGACCTAGATGCTGTCTGGAGTCAGAACACCTGATTTGAAGTTGTTCATGCTGGCCCAGGAAGGGGCTAAGCTGTTTGTTCCCACAAGAAACTCCTCTGGGTCCAGAGGGCAGCCAGGGGCAAGGCACCTAGTTATGGAAAGAGTTCTTAGCCTCCTAGGTCAATTATCTTTCAATTCTATTTTACCATAAACTTTTTGAAGCCCCCTCATATTATGTTGGAGTCTTGTTGTGGAATTGTAAAATAAGCACTGGACTGCTAACCCAAGGATGGTAGATCATCAGAAATGTTATATAGGGTCGCTATGAGACAGAAACAAGTTGATGGCACTTAACAACACAACATTACATCATCATGTCTATTTTGAACGTCTATGAATGTAATTGCACTACTCATGTGTGTTGTGAGGTTTGGGGGTTATATCATAATTTTAGAGACTGCCCATCTGACTGCGTGAAGTTCTAGCTTGTTCCTCTTCACTGCTGCATAGTATTTCACTGGATGAATAGTTTCTAATTCATCTGTCCATCCCAGTTTGCTCCCGTGAACACTAATCTGAATACTCTGAAACAGTTTCTCTAGTTTGATCTTAACTTTTTTTTTTTTTTTAAATAGTATGGCTCTCCCCCTTAGCAGTGTGGTAACACTATGGATGTCTTCTCAGAATAATATTTTTTGAATGCAAAAAACAGAACATGGAGAATAACTCAAATAGCCAATTATACTGAAATATGGTTATCGGTATTGAAAGACTAATTTGTGATAAAGTAAATATAAGTATTATTTCATCAATACAGTAAGAAAAAGATGTCATGGTGTGTCTGTTGTTGTTCAGTTCTGTAGAGTTGGTTCTGACTCATAGCGACCCTGTACAGGGTTTCTGAGGAGCAGCTAGTGAATCTGAACTGCCAACTTTGTGGTTCAAGCCAACCTTGTGGCCAGTGCTTATCCTACAGCATTATATCAGGACTTCCATGGTGCGTCTAATACTTATAATTTTAAAGTAGTGATGAATGTAATTTATAGCTGGAGATACCTCAAACCACTCTAAAGTATATGAAAATATCTGTGGTTTCTAGTAGTGATGCAATCCAGCGTCTGTTAATATTATAATTATTAAAATGGTGGTTTATTATTAAATGCTATTAAATTATTAAGTATTATTAAATTATTATTATATTAAAATGCCCACACCTTTGCATGCACACATTCCTACATTCAAAATGGAGGAAATGCTCATTTCAATTAGAGGTTAGAATGAATAAAGGATTAAATTTCTTCCACATTTAAGTGTACAAACTTCCTGATTTCTACCTATGGATCTTTGAGGGTGGTTCATGGACTCCTTGTCCACCAGTCCCCACTGAGGATATACACTTATGAGTGGAATTGCTAGGTCTTCAAGCATGCGCATGAGCAATTTCTCAGCTAACACAAACCACTGGTGATTTGCAGGGTATGTTTTTGGTCACCTTACAAGTAACTAAAAAGTGTTGCTGTTGTTGTTTTTAATCAATGCTACACCCTCTCCTTCAGCTCCACACCACGAAGAAATGAAAGTGAGGGAAATGAAATTACTGTTGGGTGATGTTTTCGTCCCCCCATGTCTGCACCATGTTACCTTGATGAGAGTGATTCCCAGTGCTTTCTTGGGCACCCTCCCAGTGATCTCATCACAGATTCTGTGAATGAACTGGTGAGGAATGACAAACACCAGCAGGTCCGCATCCTGCACAGCCTCACTGAGATTTGAGACCGCAACCTGCAACCACAGGAAGAGGAAATTGAATGGTGACTTTTATATTATAATAACAAGCAAAACAAAAACAAATCCAAAATCATCACAGTGGAATCGATTCTGAGTCATAGCAACTCCATGTTTTAAAAGAGTAGAACTGTGTCCACAGGGTTTTATCTTAATGTAAACTGATCGTCAAGTCTTTCTTCCATTCAACTGCTGAGTGGGTTCAAACTACCAACCTTTAGGTTAGTAGTTAAGCACAAACCATCTGTACCACCCAGGGACCTAATATCATAGTAAGCTTACCAAAATTATTTCTTCACTACCTGTTCATCAGAGGACTACAATGTGTAGAGCAGAGTGCAAATGGACAAGAGAAACAAGGATGGTGCACTCTGCCTTCTTCTCTTCTGTCACTTACTAGTAGAGTGAGATGAGCAAGTGACTTACTCTCTTCTTGCCACAATTTCCTTACATCTAATAGAGAACGACTCGATGGCACTTAACAACAACAACAACAACAACAACAACAGAGAACTGTAACAACACCATGCATGCTGCTCTCTGTTGTTCCCACCCCTCAATCCAGTCTCTGTTCTTCTTTGCCCCTTCTGTTCCAGGGCTCCTTTCTATGGACTGTCTCCCCTGGTTCCCTTCTGGTTTCTAGTTGGCCTCAACAAATGTGGAGCACAATCAAGAGATCAAAGTGTGGAGAAAGACGGCAGGCATTTACGAGACATTCCTGACCAGACTCATCAAGGGCTTCATTCTAGATACACCTCTTGCCAGGCAATTCCTCTTGTACATCTCTAACCTCTCTCTTTTCCAAACTGGTTTGGTAGCACCATTATGTCCTCTTTGCCCTTTGAGTGGTGGTAGTAACTTTCTGCTGCTGCTAATCTCTGGACACTTCTCCAACCCTGCTGATTCCTGCCATCCTGCCCATAAAAATAAAATGAAACCAAACCCACTGCCAATGAGTTGATTCCAACTCACAGTGACCTTGTGTGTTTCAGAGTAAAACTGTGCTCCATAGACTATTTCAGGCTGTATCTAATGAAAGTAGACCCCCAGGCATTTCTCCCATGGCTCTACTCAGTAGATGTGAACCACTAACCTTTAAGTTAGAAGCCAAGAGCAAACTGTTTGCCCCTTCAGGGACTTTTGGCCCCACCCACACCTTTGCATACAGTCTAAACTCCTCATGGCTAAACCCTGCAGGAGTTTGGGGCCCGGGCTACTAAAATAGAGCTGAGTGAGAACCGATGCAGAACACTGCCTGGCACCTGCTAAGCTTGTGATTGTTGTTGTTGTCATTGAGTCAGTTCCAACTCATGGGAAGCCCACGTGTGCTGAGTAAAACTGTTCCACAGAGATTTCAAGGTTAAGCCTGTCTTCTGAGGCATGAGAGGCTGGGCTCGAACTGCCAACCTCCTAGTTAGCAGTCAAGCACTTAACAATTTGTGCCCCCCAGGAACTTAGCTATTATGAGTGTTTCTTTTCTTCAGGTAAGTATGAAGATGAGTTTTAAAACACCAGGCGAAGGACAGGGCTTCTAGCAAGGACACGAGGGCCGGTCTCCAATAGCCGGTTGTTGTTGCTTACTGTCATCTCCTATCTTCTCCCTGTTCCTAACCAGCAGAAGTCCCTATTTTAGGCTGGGTTTGCAACCCAGCCACCCTTGCATGTGACCCAATTCTGACTAAAAGATTATAAATGGAAGTGTTACATATTCTGGGAAATGTCCTTGGCAGTCCCTCTTCTTCCTTCTGCCAGAGGGAATGCAGAAGAGATGGCATCTTAGGCAGGCATCTCAGACCATGGGGAAATCACATACTGAGAATGACAAAACAGTAATATGAGGCAGGGTCAAAACGCTCATGCAAGAGTTCCATTATCTTTTAATTCCATTTTTCCATGAACACTATGAGGCCCCATCCTATAAAGAGGTCCTGATGCTCACAGTCTCATGGGACAATTCAGTCCATTGGGAGGATATGGCTCACAAAGTTCATGTTCACCATCCTAGTCAAGAGAGCGGTGTCAGGAGTCTTCAAACCTTGTGTATGCCACCCAAGATACTACTAATGGTCTCTGCTCATCAGGAGCATAAGAATAAGAAAGTAACCAGAATTACAGGGAAGAAACAAATCTACAAGGCCAATGACCCACACAAACCTTGTCCTCAGCTCTCCTGAGACCAAATGAACTAGATAGCACGGGACTACCACCACTGACTGATCTGACCACAGGGCCACAACAGATGATCCTAGTTAGAATGAGGAAAAAAAAAAAAAAAAAAATGCAGAACTACTGAACCACCAAAGGAGCTCTGGTAGCGTAGTGGTTACAAATCAGGTTGTGAACCACAAGGTCAGCAGTTCGAAACTGCCAGCGGTTCCGCAGGAGAAAGATTAGGCTATCTGCTCCCGTAAAGATTTACAGCCTCGGAAACCCTGTTCAGGGTCGCTATGAGTCGGAACCGACTCGATGTCACTTAACAACAACAACAACTGAACCACCAAGAACAAAGGACACTCTGAGACTATCACCCTGAGACACTTTTTAAACCTTGAACTATCCTGAGAGGACTTCTGGCAAAAGGGCAGACACTAGGTAGATGCACTACACGGGCCCTCTGAAAATAAACAGGAGACCAAATGAAGCAGATACTGATGAAAATTCTGGAACCCTAAACTTTGGAGGAAAAGTTAGAGAAGTGGACTGAGTGCCCCCAGAAGGAGAAGCTGAGCAAGGACAGTGAGCGAGGGAAACTGACTGGTGAATGGCCAGCAACTCTGGCAACAGAGGGAGGTCTGGCAGAGCAGATTCACACAGGTGATGGGAAATGTTCAATTCCTTCGTTTTCAGCACATTCCCCTGGTGACCTGAGGTGTGGTCAGATCCCATCTTCATCCACCGGCAGCGCAGCCCCTGCTTTCTGGGAGTTCGAAGCCGATGTGGGATCTGCTATGCCATTTTGGTACCTGGATTCAAGCAGGCCTGGCTCCAGACCTACAGAACGCACAGAGCCACAAAACCAGCATTGATCTGTGGTCCTAACAGACACTGAAACTAGCTCCACTGAGGACCTCCAGGAACTACTTCCAGACTGAGTGCTGTAACAATAGATAACACCAAGGCCAGTCAGACTCTATCTAGGGCCAGGAACTCTACTATCACATACCTGCCACACCCACCTCATGGGCTCCTTGGCTATAGGAGGCCCTGAAGAGTTTTCTCCTTCCCAGGTCCCATAGTTACACTGGTTTTTTGGTTTGTTTTGTTTTGGCTTATTTCCTTTCGCTGTTTCATTGTTTATGTTTATTCTTTCTCCTCCTTCTTATTCTCTTTCCATTCCCTTAAATTTTATCCTTTCAATGTCTGTTTTTGTTTTTCCTTTTCTTCTGTTTCTCTTTTACCCTCTTCTTTTTTCCTTTTGATCTGTCTCTCTGCTCTCTCTTTTCATCTTCTCTCTCACTGATTTTTCTAAGTGTTTCTTAAAAATTTTTTCCTCTTATTTTCTCTGTTATCGTTCTCTTCTATAGCTCCATTTCCCTGTCCCTCTTTTGTCTTTACAGTTATTATATTCTTTTTTTCTGGATGCTACTGTTTTAATTCATTCTGTTTTGTTTTCTTGTGTGTGTATGTGGGAGGGTTTTCTCTTTCCCACCTGACAGGAGAAAGCAACTATGTACATAGAGCCCAGCCCCAACCACACCTTCTCCTTCTGCAGCTCCACTCACTGGAAGGTGCCAATACCAGCTCCTATACCACCTGATGGACAACAGCCAACACCAACCAAAACCACAATAAACTGAGGTGCATGGACGGCAAAGGAGAAAGGTGTACATACTTTCATTTCCTAACTATACTCACAGGAGACAGTTGATGAGAGCCTAAGAACATATCAACATACACTCATCAATGAAAATTAAAAAACAACAACCCCAAATGCCCTGGAGACAACAGACAATTTTAGCTCACACAAGGAAACAGAGAATGGCTCAAAGAAATGATCAAGATGCAGAGCCAGAAAATGTTTCTGAGGAAGAGAAGGTAATGGAATTAACTGAAAAAGAATTCAAAAGAGTGATATTTAGGCACCTTCAAAAGACTGACAGTAAGATTGGGGAAAGTAACGAGAACATTAAAAAAAAAAAAAAAACAACTTTAGAGAATTCAGGAAATCACTACAAGATCAAATAGGCACAATAAATGCAAATCCAGAAGATTTCTAATTGCAGGCTTTGTATTATTTCAGAAATGGACAGTACTTAGAAGGACAAAGGAGCATATTTGAAGCAATGGAAGCCCAAAGAAGTGAGCTTGAAGATCAGTCTCTCAATACTACTATGCCAGAAGAACAATCAGAAAAAAGAATGGAAGCCTAAGAGTTCTGTGGGACACTATGAAGAGGGACAGTTTACAGGTGACCATAATTCCTGAACATGAAGAAACAATAAAAAGCACAGAGAAAATTGTTGTAGAGTTGCTGAAAGAAAACTTCCCTAATATCATGAAAGACAAGAAGATAAGCATATACAACAAGTTGAACGAACCCCAAACAGGATAAGGCCCAAAAAGAAAATCACCAAGACATATCATAATCAAACTTTCCAAAACCAAAGACAAGGTAAGAATCCTGAGAGTCGCTCAGGAAAACAAAAAGTTGCCTACAAAGGGGCACCAGTAAGACAAAATCACAATTTTGTCTTACTGGTGCCCCTTGGTACCCAGAAGCCATGCAGGCAAAAAGGCAATGAGATGGCATATTTAAAATTCTAAAAGAAAAAAATTGTCAACCAAGAATCATATACCCAGCAAAGCTGTCCCTCAAGTATGATGGCAAAATTAGGATGCTTCCTGATAATCAAAAATGAAAGAAATTGGTAGTAACCAAAACAAAAATTAAAAAAAAAACAAAAAAGGGTCCTTGGAACGAAAAACAAAAAAAACAAAAAAAAAACCGAAGGTAAAAAAACAACAAAAAATCAAACCAAAAAAAAAAAAAAATAAAA